AAGGAGTACAACATAACATATCAAGGAGTACAACACATCAGAGTTTTCCCTTTTTTTCATCCACATTTGGCTTTTAACAACCCAACAACCATATTTAACATTCCAGTAGTACTAATATTTAACATTCAAGTCAATATCAATAATATTCAAGCTAACGTGTAAGCGCATTTAAGCGGATGATACCAATCCTATATTTAGCATTCAAGTAATCACTTTTTACTTATCGAAAGTACAAGCTTCACAGTACTTTTGAGACGTGCAGGCCAATAATTTTCTATCCTTATACATCAATAATTAAATCATATCATGAGACATATAAATCATAAATATAAGAAAATTTATAATATAATTCAAGTCAAAAAATCAAAAAGTCTAATGATATACTATGATTTATTTGGATAAATCATTTCCTTAGTCAATATAGGGCAGAATCGTAGGAGAATAATTAATAAAAAAACTTAGAAATAAATTTTAAAAAATATTATATAAAAGAATCAAAATTTGTTTAGAGAAATATTCTCGAGAATCAATAAAATTGTTTCATGTATGGTACATCTAAAGTTGTAAACATCGACATATCATCTTATATGAAAATAAATTCAAATTCGTCATTAAAATCACTTTTCGAGAAATCCAAGAAAGCAATATAGATAGTTTCCTATAAGATTAAAAATAGGTAAGGTTCTTTAGCTTTAATTCATTTTTATACCTAGTATACTCTAGTATTCTATGCAAAAACTATGCATCATCATTTAAAACCGAAAGATAATATTTATCAAAAAATCATCAAGATCAAAAGTATAACATATATTTTCAAAAAATAAGATTTTAAATCATCATTACTTCAAATCCTCATGCATATTATAAAATCATCTAAGTATAATTTCATTGAACATAAAGCATCTACAATTAAAATTATTTTATTTTAATTAGTGAGCTTTGTGAAGTGTGTTGAATTTTTTGTTATAAGCCTTGAGCATCTACTATCAAAAATTTATTTTTGCTCTTAGCTTTTGATTGTAGAGATGTCTATAAGAAATGTGAGTTTCCTTTAGGTACCTATTTAACCTTGGGTCCCTCGTTAATAGATCTACCTATCTTAACGATTAGCATTAAGTTATTCATAGTTCTTTTAGGAACCAAACTAATTTGTATAGATTCTACTTTTTAAATGATCATCTATATACATAATATCCAAATCTATCACAAAAATTATATTTATTTCCGGGTAAAACATGTAATGTGAGTCCTTTAATGAAGATAGTTAGCTTTTGCTAGTGTTACTCATAAAGTTAATTCATTCTTTTCTATTAACATTCATTATTAGTAAGGAACATGGTTAGAGATTTATTACATATATTAATTTTTTTTAATATTTCTTGTAGTAAAATATTTTCTTTTTTAAGTGAATATATCTCTTCACACTCAGTGAAAAGAGCTAAAATTCTATCATCATTTTTTAATTTATCAAATTCAGCGTAAGATAAAGAAGATTTATTTGAATTACATACCTCATTACTAAATATCATTAATGCATAATTTGTAACTTCTTATTGTTGGTAGGCTATTATCTTGGGATGCACTTCAGCCATCCCAAGTAGTTTTGAGTGTTTTTTTTTTCTTTGGTAGTTTCTTCTTCACTTTGGGATATTCATTTTTGAAGTGCCCTGGCTTCTTACATTCATAGCAAATTATTTGATCCTTTTTTTGTTCACTTTTGTCCTTAGTATCATTGTTTTGTTTTGTTCCTTTTTAAGAATTTTTTAAATTTTTTTTATAAGAAGCGCTAAGTCATCATTATTATCATCACTTGAGTTTTCTCCTAAGTGGTCTTCTTTGGTTCTAAGTGTCAAGTCCTTTTTATTCTTTGGAAGGTTGTTCTTAAGTTCATCATGTGCAATACATGTCATTTCATATGTCATCAAAGACCCAATAAGTTCCTCGATCAGAAAATTGTTCATGTCCTTTGCTTCTTGTATTACCATAACTTTAGGATCTCAACTTTTTAGAAAGGATCTTAGTATTTTATTAATAAGTTTAAAATTAGAAAAACTTTTACAAAAAACTTTTAGATCATTAACGACATTCGTAAAACGGGTGTACATATCTCCAATAGTCTTGCTTGATTTTATATGAAACAACTCATAGCTATGAACCAAAAGATTAATTTTTGACTCTTTAACCCTACTTGTGCCTTCATGTGTGCCTTTGAGTGTGTGTTAAATCTCATGTACAGTTTTGCGTATAGAAACCTGATTAAATTTATTTTTAATTAAGAGTGCAAAATAAAGCGTTCAAAGAAAAAGTCTTCTTCTTCAAATCATTCCATTCGTTTATTGGTTTGAAAGACTTTTCAAAATCGCTTTTAACAATGTTCTATAAATTAAAATTCATAGAAAGCAAGAAAATTATCATTCTAGTTTTCCAATACGTGCAGTATATTCCATTAAATATAGGAGAGCGAGTGATAAAAAGACCCTCTTGATTATCGGTAAAAGTCATTTCTCTTGAGTGTTAAACCAAATAAGAAAAACTATGACTTTGATACCGACTGTTAGGATCAAAATCGACATTAAAAGGAGGGTTTGAATTAGTACTTACATAAAAATATCGAGTATTTAGAAAAACCATTTCGATAAAATCGTATCAGAAATGTGTTTGAACTTAGAGAAAGTGTGAATTGGAGTGAGTAGCCAAATCAGTAAGCAATATAAAGGAAAAAGACAAAGAAGAGAAGGCACACCAATTTTATAGTAGTTTAGTCGTCGTGACCTACATCTACTCTCGATTCCTCCTCCGTCAAGGCCACCGACATTCATTATCGATCTATTTTCAACGGACGAAGATCAATTACCCTTTTATAATTTTTTTTTCTTTTTCACAGGTTTAGGAGATAATCTTTATGAGCTACTCACCCTTCTCTTAAGCTGAAATTAACACTTAGAGCTAGAGGAGAATTCTCACAAGATTACAACAGTGTTTTCCCCAAATTTTGTTTTCAGTTGATGTGTTAACCGAGCAGGGATGAGTGGAGTATTTATAGGCCTCCAAATGGATTCAAATTTGAAGACAAAATTGTCTCATCCTAGGTTTTCGGGATACTGGCGGTATTACCGCCTAGTTTGGGCAGTACGATCGCCTGATAAAGCCTCGAAGATTGGACTCTAGCGGTACCACCACTTGGTAACATTAATTGTTGGCGGTACCACTACCCAGACTACCTGGGAGGCCGAGCCTCAAGTGGTGCTACCACTTGGGCCAAGTAAGGGTCACTGAATGAGCCAAACAACAGGCCCAATTCAACCCTAATTCGGGCCTAGTTAACCCCTAATTGAGTTAGTAGGATTACTCCTTAAACTAACTCAAATTGATACCTAACTATGATAATTAAGGTTAAATAATTATAATGCAAGCAATCCTAGTTGTCTAGCACGTCAATTGTTCATCCGAAATCCCGATGAAACTTCCGGCGCACTCCCAACGATGTTTCGACAAGCTTTCGACGAACTCCCGATGAGCTTCCGACATATCATTCGAACTTTCGGTGTATCCCTTGATTCTTCTGACCCAATGCCCAATCATTGACTCCGGCCCAACATTCAATACTTCTTTGATTATTTTACATTTTCACGATCGTAAATAGTCCTACATCACTTTTCTTATATAGATTAGATTATTAATTCATCAATTGATTTCATCATCAAAATCTGAGATTCAACTCAGATTTACTTAATTCATCAATACATAACTTACAATTACTTGACCAATATATTTTACTTATAGTGATCAATATTCTACTCTTTTGACCCTCAATTTATGATTATCTAATTAATCAAAATTTTTAGAATATTAAATTTTTGATTGATTATATTTAACAATGAGTCACAAGTAATTTTACAAGCAAAGAAGGTTGAGAACTATTAAGGTGTTTTTCTAAAAAAGGTAAACAATGTAAGGATCCAAATCTTTTATTTTTATATCTTCAAATGATGATGTGGAGATCTCCTTCTTTTGGACTTACCTCTTACATGTCAATATCCTAAAATTCTTTTTCAAACTTATGAATGCTTATGATGATTTGATCAATGTGTTTTACTTTTAGTGATTCTACCCCTCCACCCTCAAACTATGATTATCTCATTAATCAAAAGTTTTAGGATGTTAATGTTTTGGTTGATAGTATTTAAGAATGAGTATTGTAGTGTAATTTAACAAGCGAAAAAAGAGATGTTAGGAACTATTAAGGTTAAACAAAAATAATGTACTTTTGAGTTAAATCAATAGTTTAAAAATATGAATTTGAAAGTAAAATGTGTTGATATATTTTGGGTAATCTAAAATAAAACAACAAATGTCTTTTGAGCTATTATCAAAGACAAATATGTAATTTGATAATAAATATAATATAATAATTATATTATGATTCCTAGACAACGAGAGGTGGAGTGAACCCTAATGTATAGAGAGAGAAAAAAAAATTGAATAGATAGAGAAATAATAATAATAATATATAGAGAGAGAGAGAGAAAAAAAGGAGAATCGTAGAAAAATTTAATAAATAAATAAATAATTTTGAATATGAGATTTAAATGTAAGACAAGTTTGGGTTAAGAACTGTATCGTATAAGATAGATGATTTGATTTGGAATCCTAATGTATAATGCTATCCTAATTAAATAAGAAAGATTTTTGTGATTAGGTTCATATTATCAAGTTCCAATCTTAATCTTAGGAATCAATGGGGGCCTGTCGGGTTACTGCTACCGCAGGCCCAATGGGGCCCGTACACCAACCATAAGCATTAACGTGGAACCATAAATTAATCTTTCTTTGTGAAATATAGGATTTAA